CATCTTCTTCTTCTTCTTCTTCTTCTTCTTTCCCTCTTCTCTGGTCTCTATCTCTTTGCAAGTGCTTTCATTTCTTTAGCAATTGGGTGGCATTGTCTTTCATTGTGAATTTGCACTTTGGGAATGACCCGGATCGTAACATTATTGTTATTTCTTGTTTGAATAAGAGTGGAGAAGACAAGGAGGAGGAGATTGATTGGCGAAGAAGAAGAACCTTGCCATTGGTCTATGCTGGAGTACATCATCTTCTTCTTCTTCTGCTTTCCCTCTCTCTCCTCTCAAGTCCATTCATTTCTTTTTGCAATTGGACGGCATTGTACTTTCTGATGAATGTATACTTCGAAATTGGCCAGGATTGTAACAACTCTTTGATTTTTACTTAGTTTTTCTTCCAGATACTACCTAGGTTGCTTTTTTAAAGTTTTTTTACTCTTTGATTTTTACTTAGTTTTTCTTCCAGCTACTCCCTAGCAGGTTGCTTTTTCGTACTCTTTGATTTTTACTTAGTTTTTCTTCCAGATACTAACTAGTAGGTTGCTTTTTTTACTTTTTGATTTTTACTTAAGAGTTTTTCTTCCAGATACTACCTAGGTTGCTTTTTTTTACTCTTTGATTTTTACTTAGTTTTTCTTCCAGTCTTGCTGCACCTCTGTACTGAGCTTGAACCTGGGTTGGAAGCTTGGCCTTTACTACTCTTTGATGTACTTAGTGTTTTTCTTCCAGTCTCGCCAGCACCTTTGTAGCGATAGTTTGAACCTGGGTCAGAAGCTTGGCCCTGCACACCTCCTCTCTTTCACCCCCCCCATGTCTCATTTCTCTTCCCGAGTTATGCAGGCTGGGGAATGCTCGCTGATTCTTCTTCGTGCGTGCCGATTCCATGCCTGATCGAAAGTTGATTCGATTCCTGATTGAAGTTGACTTGATTTGTGATTGGAGTTCATTTGATTCACGATCGAAGTCGAGGGCCATTCAATTCGTGTGTTATGCAGGGGCTGGTGTACGTTTCGCCTTTTGCACGCTTTTGCACGCTGGCCGACTCGTCTCTCTGTGTGTCATGCTGATCATTTTCTCCTCTTTCCATACTGGTCATCTCTTTTGCATGCTGGCCATTTCCTTGTTTGCATGTCTCGATTCCTGTCGCGATTTGAAGTTTCATATTTAAAATTGATTCAGTTCGACTTCTGCTGTCATCCTGGGGCTGCTGGCTGGCGTAAATGGACCAACCACCACACACCGAGAGAAACATATGTATGTATCGTGATTGAAGTTTCATCTATGCACAGAATTGAAGTTGATTCAATTTGGCTCTTCTTCGTATGTGGTTATTCGAGAATGGCACATGTTCAATGCGGAGAGTAACGTATGTTTCAATTTCGATTAAACTTGATTCGATTCCATTCTTCTTTTTGTGTGTTGTTTATTGCATGTCTCGGTTTGGTGTCTGCTTTTTTTTTTTTTTTTTTTTTTTTTTGCGTACCTGGGAATGTCATTCAGCTTTCTGCCCCTGCACAAGAAATCATCGGTCAGGTAAAGGCGTGCCATTTATGCGGAATCGTTGGGCACTTGAGACGGGATTGCCCTCAGGTCAGCCAGCCATCCCCGTACCCCTATGTTAGCATATGTGCCTCTCCTTCCCCTCCCCCC